AGTTCTGATTGTGCCATAATGCTTTCTGTTTTGCCTCGCCTTCAGCATCAAGTTGCTGGCAACTCTGAACCACAAAACAGAACTCATTACAGTTTTGCACACTTTATATAAACAAGTACTAGTGGAAAATAGCTGTTTAACAACCTAAATATCTAGTTTGTATATAGTAGTAGTCCTTTAGGCTTCCTAATTTGTTAACAGTTTAGGGTATCTGACTAAACCTGGAGTCCAATTATACATTTATAGGTTTGCCCATCTTAACCAAATATTTTAAGCTCATTAAAAAGATAATATATACTATATACTCAGCCCTGAATTCCAGGAAACAGCAGGAACCCTGAAGCCCAAAGACAATCTTGTCCCAAGTCTTTCCCAGATACTCACTTGTATAGTAAAACAGCCACAGGAAGAGTGAAGGGATTCTGGCATTTTTCCTCTTCAGCCTCCTCACACAGAGTAGTAAGATCATAAAGCTTCACAATGTCACTCCCACTAGCTGTGGATTCAAGAAATAACATTAGAACACATCAAACTAGAAAAACTGCATAGCGTACAGTACAATAGACACATTACTTATTACAAGGACAAGGAAATTCCCATTCACTTATTTCCCACCTTTGAAAAGCCAGTAGGTGTGACCCTCTTTGGTGCAGTTGGACTTGAGAAAGGAGAGGATGTTTTGGGCGATGTCTTTCACCACCCTGGTAGAGAAAGTCGAGTTCTCCAGATGAGGGATGTCTTCTGTTTTTATCATCTCGTATTTCTGCAGGTAAAAATATAAAAGCAAAAGCAATGATGAAATGTATTGCCACAGATCATAATATTACCTTTTGCAATACTACAGCCAGCAGTAATTTACCTGAACAATGCCATTGACATGGAAGCACATGACAAGCTCGGGGACATTACACATCAGATTGTCGAGCCAGTAGTCAATGCCTGTCAGAATGTTGATTGGTTTATTGTTGTCCCTGAAAAACACAGGAAGAAAGTTAGACGCTACATTACGTAAATATAATGTAGTGGAACCAATGTATGTCATTGAAGGAAACAGTTTAAACTCCAACCTGAGTCTCAGACTGACGGCAGGATAGCGACCACCTCCAAAAATAGGCATGTTGGACCCAACCAACATGTGGATATCCTCAAATGTCCACATGATGTTTCGCACAAAGTCGTTCCTTAAACCCTGTCAAACAAGTGACATCAAAGTGTTTATAACAGTGTATACAAGTGTACATTAGATATAAGTTACCAACTTTGGTAGGAAAACCTTAAGGAAGGTTGTATTACCTGACTGTTCTCCCCTTCGTTGAAGAGCATAGGGAGGTTTTGCTCTTTGGGTATGGACGTCACCTGGCCCAGAGCAAACATGCTGTCTACAGAAACACTTTCCTGCACATTTAATAGTAGCAATACTGTCAGCAGCGCAAACCAGAACTCTCAACGCATAAGTTTCACACAATCTAATCTAAAAACACTGGTTACTGGTTATTTTCCAATACATTTCAGGCATTAAATACAGAAAGATGACACACAGGATTGATTCCTAATGAACAAGAAATTTAGATATAATTTCACACTCATCTCTTAATTCCATCACAGGTCTGGCTGCCCCAATCAGAGACTACTAAATACACTGTACCTGCTTGGGAGGATCTGATTCTTCGGCATCAGACGATGTGCTGGTGAAGGTGGTGGGCCATGAAGAACTGAACTCCTCTGCCCCGTTCTCCTCCTCCCCTTCATTCAGGTCGTTTTGTACAGGCTCTGCAGCCCCGTCACCATTTATACTGGAGGAAACACAAGAAGTTATTATGGGACAAGACTGGAAAAGATAACCTAAGTTCCACTGTGAACCAAACTCAAAGTACTCACCTGTAATAGAGGAACTTTGACAGGATGGCTTTCTGATACCAGTGCTCTTTACTCTTCTTTTTCCTCTGCCATTTCTGATCTACTAGCCGCTGGTAAAACTCTTTTAGCCACGTCCAATCTCCCGTCTACAACACACACATAGCAGGGAGAATACAATCACTTAAACCACATTCTTAAAAGTTACTGTCGTGAAAAAACAGTGGCAATGGCAGACAAATTTGGAATAAAAGTAGAATTAAAGTATGGAATATGCCATTCTGTACCTGAGAGGATCTCATGAAGAGCTCTTGAATGTCCAGCTCATCCAAAAGCAATGTCCTCCCCACGCGGTGAACAGCCATACTCACGTGGGACTTGCTGTAGGGAATTTTCAGAAGCTTCTTGATGTTCTGAATGTGACAGAAAAAAAAAGTGTCTGTGCATGTCCCGGAGACAAAGAAAGAAATGTTAGCTTCGCAACAACTCCACAAACCTCTGAGTCAGATACCACGTCGACATCATCCCCGATGCAGTCAATAAAGTCGTAAGCCATCCCAAAACTATAAAAGAAGAAAAAAAACTTTATTACCACTGAGTGTTTGCAGTGGCCATGAAAATGCTTTTGCAGATGAATGTATGATTTATGCACTTATAACCCTGATTATTAGCATTTTCAGCTATGCAGCAAGAAATTATCCAGTGCTTCTGCTTACTGGTGTCTTAGATGTATTATATATAAAATTCTAGATGTAGTTTTGTAACATCAATGAAAAATACAAATACACCTCAGAGTACTAATCAGTGTTCATCAGTGCATTCAGACCAACAACAGAGGCCATCTGCCCAGCAGGTTTCCACAAATTAAGCAGAGCATTCAGCGTGAGCCTCTAAAACCAACCCTGCCTTTTATCTTCACTCAGCAAAACATAAGATCTCAAACTGTCATCACAAATTAATATCACATCTTAAAATACCAACTAAACCAGAAGTGTTTCTAATATTTAGTTTGCCCCAATTGACATAAATTGGTCGGCCAACATATCAAAACATTATATCTTTCAGTATAATACAATACAGTTCAACAGCAACACAAACTACAGACTCCAAACTGACCATACGGTTTGAATCAATACTCCTATTTAAAACAGTTTCAACAAAAACTGAACATTACAGACTTCATATTTACTGCAGGGCTACAGTGTACTCGATTTAAAACTAAACTTCTCTACAGAGACCAACACAGTTACACACTTGAGCAACAAACATGAGCTCTAGTATTAGGATCTCTCATGATTTTGTACCTGGAAAAAGGCTTGCTCTTGCTGCTGGACCCTAATATAGTGGTGCCAGCGCTGCCCAGCTGGGGGTTTTCTCTAAGCCAGTTGGCAGGAGGCAGCTTCAGGTCCGTCTTCTCCTGCAGCAGGGCATAGCTGGTGGGAGGAGGGGCGGCAGAGTACTTGACCACAGCACGGCTCTTGATTTCACTGTTGCCTGAGCATACTGCAGAGTCCTTCAACGTAACAGAACAAAACATCATAGTGTAAGTGAGTTACTGGGACCGGGAATCACTGATTGAGGTTGGAGTGGAGTCTACATGGACATTTAGCTAGTCTGAATAAACCTGAGAGTGTCTGGTGGATCTGTGAATCAATACACTGAAACTGGTGAATAGGAAGATTTCACATTGTAAATAACCATGCACACAGCAACAGTCAGTGTACCAGTTCCTCCATGTTTTCAGTCTAGCTACTTACATGTTTGCTGTTCTCTCCTGTGCAGGTAGGGCCACTGATGTCTTCCTTTGCATTGTCCAGGGGGATCCCAGGCTCTCTGTCCGCAGCTGACGCGCTCATACTCGACTCAGGACACTCACTTCGACCCGGCGAACATTGGCTCCTTCTTAACAACCAGACAACCTATCCATGGCTTGGACAACTCGTGGGAAATGTATGCATTACCCAGTTAAACGAGCGAGACGCGTCTATTATGTCAATAAAGTTACTGTTGTGTCCAGTTTGCTAGCTGAACAGGCTAGCTCCTCGAAAGAGACCCGGAGAGATGTAAATAAAAAAAAGTGTCGCTACACAACAAGGTTGTTAAATTGACCCTAAACGACGCTCACATGTGAGGCTGTTAATTTGAGTAGTTTTTAGCCCTTACTTAAGAAGTTAAATACGCCTGCAGCTTCTCCTCTTCCTATCATCAGCCCGACTGTTGTTGTTAGCCTACACGTTGGTGCGAGCAGTAAGCGAACAACAGCTTCCGGTTTCACCAAAACTCATCTTATTTTCTTATTTCGACACTCATCATTTATTATCATTTTAGAGACGACGACTTTTAACAGATTATAACGTAGAATATTGGCTTACGCCTCTTAAAAAATATTTTAGTATTGATAAAATATGTGAACCGGAAGTACTTTCAGAGCTGATTGTCTTTCTAGAATAGTTGCGCACTTTCTAGTTTGTTCTGGATGTATTTTATTATGAAATTCACTCACATGTTGCCTTGTTACAAAGTGTGTCGACACGTCATCTGTTTAGTTCAATATGTTAGGTATGCATATGTTGTACAGTAAAAAAAAACAAAAACATTGGTACAGAATAGTAAGTGTATAAATTAATTTAAATTGCATTTTTAATTAGAAGAACAGAAGTATTAGCAGCAAAGTACCAAAAGTACAAAGTGATAGGTGGCAGAATGTCCCCTGTCAGAGCATTATATTATATAATATAATATATATATATTATATTCAGTGGGTGGAAATATTCTTTTATTTACAAGTAGGCAGAATTTAAAAATCTTATTTTACAAGTTAGATATTTTGCATTTATAGCTTAAAAACAGGGTATATTGGGCAATCTGAGCAGCACAAACTCAAAGAGAAAATATTATAATATTTGTTTGTTTTTTATTGTTTATAATTGTATGTATGCATACAATAAAACATCAAGATTGTATAACATCTTGATCTACAAAGTACCCCTCCTACAGCTTTCAAATTAATCTGGTAAAGTAAAACTACAACACAAAGTATAAACTAATTATAAAGCATATAATGGACATGCTCATTGTATTTTGCATTGTGTTGTTTTGTGTTGTATCAGGCCTATGTTATATAGACAGGGAGCGGATCAGCTGACTGACTGCAGGGAGGAGGAGCTGTGAAACTTTGCTGCAGGCAGTTAGTTTCTGTGCTGATGGAGGTTACGTTTTAACAATTGAATTCGTCGTCGAGCACGTTAAAACCGAGTGGGAACAGGAAACGGATCCAACCCGCTGCAGGACATTTAGTGTACCGACTAATCTTTGTTTATTGTTTATTACAATGGGGAGCTGGAAGAATCACGTGCGCGCTCGACTGCAACACAGGGACCAAACTGAGAAACTGCCCTATGTCGGGGTCTTCACTAGCTGTAAGGACAATGTTTCTGTCTCAGCCTTTGCAATGCTGATGTCCTCGCTGTCTTAGCCTAAAGATATGTGTCTGCTTTCTTTCAGTGTCTCAGCTGGAGGAACGGTTTGAAATTCGCAAACAAATATTGGATGATGTTCAGTCAAAGAGGTTAGAAATGAAGTATTTTGTCCTTTTTTGCTGATCCTGATAAAAAACTTTTTTTTTTTTTTTTTAAAAATGTACATTGTTTTTTTTAATTTTCAGTGGAGATGAAGTCGGGAAAAACACCAAACTCCTTCAACTCCAACTGAGAGAGAGTGAACACCTGGCTGAAAAGGTGGGTTTAATGAGTAATTCAACACCACCAGCATCAGCCTCCAACTATATTCAAGAGGTTTCAGCTCTCATATGACTATACAAGCAGCAGCAGTTTGCACAAATATGTTATGTAAAAGCTCAGACATCCACCTAATAAAATACATTAATAGATAGCTTTAGATGTGTTTGACTTTGTGAAATCATCATTACTAGGTTACGGCCGGTAAAGATTGATTGGTGTGTGCATTCAGTGACATGTTTGTCACTTTTTGTCCCCCTCCAGCTGTCTCAGACCGTCTCTGACCTGACCACCGTCCTGTATCTGAAAGAGGCTGAACTGCAGTACTGGCAGTCACGGTAATCTCAAGTTTCCAGTACACGGTTGTCTATAGCCAGCAGAGTATAATACCTGCTCTCTCAAAACTAAGTATAATAAACTAGTGCTAGGCCTATTAGTTGTTGGCTTACATTTAGACACTTTATAAAAAGGATTAGGGATTTGTCATTTAGAAGCTCTTCTCATTTTTGTACCATTTTCCTATGTTTTCCGTTAATGTACTGTGTTTAGATAATAGGGGGATTTTCAGTATATTTTCTGGTCTAGCAAAATTATTTTTAAATAAAACCTTCGCATAATCACTATGTCACAAAGTAAATGAAGGAATATATAAAATGGTTACTTGTGGTAATATGGTACTGATCGAAGGTACACTAAATCACCATTTCGTCACTTGGATGTTTCAGTGTGTCCCACTTCCGTCAAGAGGCACTTACTCTGGCTAAAGGGAGTAACACCCTGAAGGCGACCCTTTCAGAATTCGAGTTTACCATAGAGTGTCAATCCAAAGAGCTGGCAGCCGTGCGTGCGGAGCAGAAAGAACTTAAGGAAGCGTTGGGACAGGCTTGGAGAGAGAAAGAGGAACTCTTGCAACGATGGATGGAGGAGAAGAGGGAGGAGGCGGACAGGTTGAATAAGTACAACGACACGCAGGAAAGGTAAGAGAAGTGAATGCGTGATCTCTGTGTGACTTACAAAGCTTAAAAATATGAATGTCAACATAACTGCAGGTTTGGAGATTATAAATTGATTACTGCTTTTCTCCAGGTGGCAACGTTTGGCCAAACAGCTGAAGAAGCAACTTCATAGGGAAGTGGGAAAAGAGCAAGTTCCCATAGTGACGAGTTCTTGGAGTGGCCCACCAGAAATGTCTCCATCGGTCATTCAGAGTAAGAATCCACATTCTTCACAATGCAGTAGGTAGAAACAAATGTCTCTTAATTTACTGAATTGCAGTGCCGCACACAGAGGGACCTAGAGCCTTTATTAAGAGCATCCTCTTAATTAAGAAGGTCTAGTTGATGAGGTGAAGAAAAAAAAGGGGATTTTGAATGGTGAATTGTTAATGTGATCAAGAAAGCGCTGATGGCACTGATGAAGGCCTATTTATCCAAAGTAACTCAGCAGAAATCAGCTCAAAGCTCACAAAAACATCCAAGTACCTTTCCTTTATCATGAGGTTATATTGCTACTCAATTTGGACGACTATAAGACCATGTACATGAGGAGGAAGCCATTTTAATGCATATTAGGTGCTTCAACGTGATTATCAGGGGGTACGTTCTAGAATAAAAAGCTTAGACATGTTTAGTATTTTACAGGCTGATTCCAATTTTATATACACAGTACTTTACTTTGAGGAATGTGAACATGTTTGGACTCCTTTTCTTTCAATTTAACAAAATACAGTGTTTAATAAACAGAAAATATACTCCATAGTTAGAGAAGTTTGCACATTTAAATCAGGAACTATCTGATCGAAGAATAAGTAAATGAGCCTAAGAGTCTGACCAAGCAAACAATACTAATGTTTTTTTTTTTAAAGTATCAATGTTTGATACTAGCTCTATAAAGGGCAGAATTTTATCCCTGGCAGTCTGGATAAGGGGGCGGAATAAAATTGGACAGATGACCTCAGTATTTCTAAAACCCCTGGCTGCTGCCCTTGTTAGGACCCTCAAATGAATATTGTATGGAAGGAATGGATGGTACCCTCTTAGCCGGGTGTTGAATGTAACCTAAAATGTGTAATTCAACATTCTTACTCTTACTCTGCTGATCTTGTCCTCAGGGATTAATAATACAACAGAGATGCACCAGGGGCACACAGACCACAACCATGTTTCAGCTGTTGAAGAAGTCTAATATTCCCAAGAGATCCTCAGCACAAGCATTTACCTCTCTGTCAATTTCTCCTGTGCTTGTAGTTGGAAGAATTGATTGCACATATGTGACGCCAGGATTGTGGAACAACCCTTTGCAACTAGAAGTGTTATGATGAGATGGTTTCTTATCTGTATCTGTACCTGCATGTAAATGTACCTAAAAGTTGATTTAAAGATCAGTTTCATTTAGAGTTTGTTAGTGTAACTAAACTCAACCCTAGTAATTTCAATTACACTCCAGCTCCACATCTGGAGGTACAAATTTACATTCCTCGCTAAATAATTTTTACAATCCCTCCAGTTGTACCATTTGAGGTGAAAAAACCTCTGTTCATGTAGTGTGTGTCATTTAAATTGCAGGAGCTGGTGTTGTTGTACTGTCAGGGCTTGGTATTAGTGAGTATGTGCCTATTTCAGCTTTTAACTTTATCTTTATTTGAAAAGAAAATTATGTGTTTTACTATCTAGGTCAAAAAGTTTATTTGAAAATAATTTCATAACCTGGGACCTTTTTTTTAAGGCTTACTTTGTAGCACAATTTGAAATTACTTTTGAAAAATTAACCTTTCTTATTCAAATGGAAAGCCAAACTCATCCCAGATTAATATGTTATTTTAAAGAAATGTGAATTGTTGTTTTTCTATATGTAAAAAAATAAAGTCTGCTATAATTTACTTTCTCACTTTGTCATCCATCAGAGTCTCTCCTGATTTGAAAACAATGGTGACTGCACAGTTAAATTGATTTCCCCATCAATTCTATGACATTGTGTCTGCAAATTTATCCTCAGCTGTTCAGTTGCAGAGTTCCTGCACTAATACTGTCTGAGTAGTTTCTCCGCATTAAAAAAAAAAGATAGGAAAATCCCACAATGTAAGTTTTATATACTTAATTGGCTTAAGAAAACATGCTTTCATGCTTTCTGTGATTTATTTTTTCTTATGTTTGATTCTTCCATTTCCTGTTAGAATTCTAGCTCCACGTCTCCATGGCAAATTGAGATCACATTTCAGGTTGTTTGTTTGCTGCAGGTTTCCATAGTCACCAGTGTTTGCATTAGTTGTTAAGTTGGACAGTGTGTGTGTTGTATTGGTGAAACCACTCAGTGGACTCTGAACTGATCTCAAACTGTATTAAAATGGTAAAAGGTGGAAAGCGATATTCTTCAATGAGCAATGATGGCAAATGGGTAAGGAAATCCTCATTTCATCACATAATCATATTATTACAAATCATAACATTCAGACCTGGTTGTCTAATTGTCTTTTCTTTCATTTCCCCCCTCAGTTTGCTCATCCAGTTTTACCAGAAAATGAAACAAGGAGTCGTGAGACTTGTACAAGCACTGGGATCATGCTGACTCAGGTTAAATCATCATTGCCTCAGGATTTAAACTTGGAGCGCTATCCTAAATGGAAAACTCAGCAGGTGTGTACGTATGTACAGTAGGTCATGTTTGCCGTACAATCATGGCCCAGGGCTCTGAATGATTTTATTGCACTTTCTATAAAAAGCATATCTGAATCTCATTGTATCCCATCCAACTGTATTCAGGTGTATTAGACTATACTCTCATCCCAGTTTGAGTTTCTTTATGACTTTCTTTACAGGAATCCAGAGAGTATCCATTCTCAGGCCATGACAACAAGCATTCCTTAAAAGACAACATCTCTGTATTCACTCAAGTGAGTATGAAAAGAAAAGAAAAAAAAGAAATCTTCAGATACATCACCACATTCCTCTTTAAAAAGTAACCATCTTTTTTTGTATCATGTTGGTATATTTCAGGGTGTGGGACGCAGGAAGTGTCTTGACGATCACCGACAGCACAACTCCCACTTCTGCCTGTGCCGTGATGAAGATGACAGCAGCTCTAGGGAGAACATCACGGTCTACCAGACTGACTTTATGGTGAAGCAGGCTGTTAATGGTCCAACCAGCACCAGACGGTTCCCCCGCAACCACCAGCAGAAGTCTGCAGAGGCAGCTTTGGCACAAGCAGCGGAGCAATTCATGTGGTTCGGACGACATGACTCTGACCTCAAAGACACCCTGCAGGCGCTGGCAGCTAACAACTACTCAGCACCTTCCAAGCACTGAGATACTACTGAGATACTTTACTAGATGGTATCATTGAGAAGGCATAGTATATAGAGGATATGATGAACCCTCTGGACGGTCCAGCTGTCAAATAAAGAAACTAATAATCATCAGATAGCCTTTTTCCTTGTTTTGAGCTGTATTCCAGAAAGGAAAAATAGGGAACTTTATAAACAAGGTTTTATTCCACAGCAACACTAATTGGACTGGAAAGTGGACCGTTAACAATCCACGTAAAGGATCAGTGTGTAGGATTTAGTGGCATCTAGCTGTGGAGTTGCAGATTGAAAACTGAAAACGGCTTGCATCTATATTTGATGACCTGGGAATGAGAACATGCTGTGAAGTGTGTTGTGGGAAATTACGGTGGCCACGAAACTCAGGAAAAATGCAAAAGGCTTGTTTGTCTGTTCAGGGCCACTCTAGAAACATGGCAGTTCAACATGGGGGACTCCAGGGAAGGCGACCCGCAGCATCTGTAGATAAAAATGTCTCATTCTAAGGTAACAAAAACACAATAACCCCTACATTCATTATACACTAATGGGAACATACCTATGAATATTATATTCCATTTCTGCCAATAGGTCCTCCTAAATGTTACACACTGGACCTTTTAAAGAGTACTCCACCAATATAGAATCACGCTTATATAAACACTACACAACATTGTCAGACTATTTCATGCAGTCTTCCTCTTTGGCAAAACCAGGCGAAAACATTACCCAAAATGCAACACAGCTACCGACAGCTTGTTCAGTGATTCGGCTGGGTTATGCCAGTAGCGACTCAAGTTTTTTTGTTTTGTTTTATTACCACTGTGCACCACCATCATGTTCCTTTGCCTTATTTTCATTTTGAAACTTCACTTCAGTGTAGGTAAGGAGGCATTTATGTTAAGTTTAACTAAGTAGTAGATGAAGCAAAATGAGGAAGCACACTTAGTATATAATGCATATACAAATGCATAATGGAGGCATCTAAACACAATCATGCATAGTCAGAGCCACTTTAGGAGCCCTGTGTAGATTAATGGTAGTTCACAGTTCTGCCAGCAGAGGGCAGCAGGTCTGCACGAGTTATCAGTTGGCCTGACGATCCACTGAGTTGTTCAACAGCCAAGTTGAGTGAGAAATGTAATAACCAAAACCCCTGTGTAATGTGCATGCTCTGGAGAAAATGTGGGGGGAAAATAATTCAGAAAAGAATCCAGCTATTTTTATTCAATGCATATCAACATGATGACATTACATTAGAGCATGTGAAATAAATTAAGCTTGATTTGAGTCATAATGCATGGGTTTGTTTCACCCCTGAGGATGAAGTGTGTGTGTGTGTGTGTGTGTGTGTGTGTGTGTGTGTGTGTGTGTGTGTGTGTGTGTGTGTGTGTGTGTGTGTGTGTGTGTGTGTGTGTGTGTGTGTGTGTGTGTGTGTGTGTGTGTGTGTGTGTGTGTGTGTGTGTGTGTGGGCGCGCGCACCGCCCATACAAGAGAGGAGAAAGGATGGCAGCGAAATAACAGAGAACACTGCTCTGACAAAAGCACTTAAGAGAACAGTATCCCCAACCACTCTCTCCAATAGGTGATGTTTTCTCTAGGGAATACATTCTGACCAGCTGCTTTCTTTCTTTAAGTACCCACCGGGGAGATGGGTTTTTCTCACAAGCTTTCTTTCAGCCGTATAGTAATTAGCTGTTCCACATGCAGTGTCGACCTTGTGGGAGTTTGTTTCACTTTTAAAAGGTGACATACATATCACAGTTTTTATATAGCAAGACCAGAGAGCTGTGAGACATCCATCTGGAATTGCCGCCCCTTTGTGATTTCACTTTGAGATTATCTCACACATTGTTGCCTGCAGGTGCACGACTGACACCAAGCTGCAGGGCGAGGGGTTGTAAAGACAATACCTTTGATAAAACAGAAAAAAAACAGGTGCACAGTTGGGGGGGGGGAGGTTATCAGCTCTATTTTAACCCTATCTTTGCCATTTCACTAAAACATGAGCCTGCTGTATATAGCTGCTAAACATTCTTGGTGGTGAGATCATACTTGAATTACTCTAAAACACTTTTTAAAGAGGTGCAGTCATGTTGAAATGTTGAGCGGGAAGTAAGTGTTTATTAATGAAAAACACCTGTGCTTGTGTTTGACAGTTAGTTCTGTCTGGTCTCCACTGGTTGTCTGCCACCTCTGTCTCTGTGGGTGCAGTTTGCAGACTATACTTTCCTCGTGGACTTGCCACAACTTGAACAACTCCTCCGCACGGAAGCCACCAACACTTCATAATCAAAAACTCTCATTAGCTCTGTTCGGGAATAGCAGTAAAGCTTTTAATACTTCACAGGGGAGTGAGAAACTCTTAGGAGAGCGTGCTGAATGGTGTGTCAATCATTAGTCAGTATGTGGTGGTGTGTGCTGTATGTGCCATGTTAGGCGAGATATGTGTGTTATATCATGTAGAGGCAAAAACCCAGAGTATATGTAAATACAGTTCCTTGGTGGAATATCAAACCTTCTCCCAAGGACAAAAGACACATCTCAGTAAACAAGCATTCAACCACCAAAGCCGTGCACTTCATGAATATTAAATCAGACACTTTGAATCCTACCTCTTTGGTGTTAGGAGGCCCTAGTCTGGATTCTTACCATTTGCTGTGATTTATTCGCAGGTGCATGTGTCTCTTTGATGTGTTGAGTTGAGAGGTTTTGCACCTGTTAGGGAAAAAAATGCTTTGAAAACAAGAGGTGGATTTGCCAGACAGTCAAAATGACAGCAACAGAAGGAAGATATGTGTTGCCCTGGTACATTGTATGTATGTGTGTGTGTGTTTTTTTCTTTTCAAAAAAAGGCTGCTGTGCTGTTTTGACATACTCTGTTGTGTGCACAGCAAAATCACTTTTTGTCAAACAAAATCTACCTTTTTTTTCTTTCTTCTCCTCACGTCAGTTTTGGCATCTGATCTGACGTTATGAAGTTGTGCATCTTGCATTTTGTCCATTACCTATTCATTAAAGAGGTGACTTGAAAAGAGAGTTGCCATGGAGATGCTGCGGTTAAATCACATATCTCAAAGACTTTTTTTTGTTTGTTTATTCTTTTGCCAATTATAACTAATGTCTAGCTTCCCTGATTTCTTTAGATTTTCTTCCTCTCTTCTTATATCCTTTTTAATAAGGTGTCAAGGCTCGCAGTATGACTTCTCTTCATGTTTAACATTTCATCTTGTTCAAACATCCAGCATCCTGTCCACATAGCAACTGTCCAAAACGGCCTTCAAGACATAGAGTTGACTCCCTTAAACCACCTAACCATAAGACCGTTTCCAATCTCCTGTCAGTCATTCCACTTGCAGTGCTTACAATTCCCTGGCAGTCTCTTTTCTCAGGCAGCCAGTTGGTTAGTGTCCCCTGGCAGCCTAGTGGTCCTTGTTCCAGTAATGGTCAGAGGCCCTCCAGAGTCTGAGGGTAGTGATAAAGGTGGCTGGCTATCTCATTTCCACAGAGGACAAGATAACATCCTGAGAACATTCCCATCACTCGAGGAGTTTGTTCAGCGAAGATAAGAGCTCCCATGCTATAGCTCGGCTACGAAGCTCAGTGGGTGTGTATTTGTGTGTCTTTGCACTGTATCCAAATGGAGTACTTTGGAGCTTGTTAGCCGCAGTCCTGCTCAGGCCGGCTTCCTATGTTTGCAGCTGTGAGGTCTGACGACCTCAGGTCACCAAGTGGCGCTGCTGAAACGCTGCCTCGAAGATCAGACCTATCCTTGCACTAAATCACATTCCTCCATGTATTTTTCAACCCTCCGACACAGTTTGCATGCTAATTTGTGAGTAGGTGGTGAGTATAATTACATTAGGCTGGTTGTAAACAAAGACCTACAAGCAGCAGTCTGTTCAAGTATCCCACCCGAGAGAGAACAAGAAAATAGTTTATACAAGGATGATTTATTATGTACAGTTTATATGAGGCTAGGCTGTGTCAGTTTGTACGCACATCTGTTGCAACTGTGATTAAATATCAAAATTGCACTAAATAAGAGTAGAAACTTGTTTCATTTATGTCCTATGTCGTTTGAGACATTAGATATTTGTCATGTTTTTCAAGCAGAATCAGTCTTTTGGGTTCCTGATCTTGTGTTTTATCATATATTTAGAATAAGGGGGCAACAATGCAGAGGCAGCCTTGAGGGCGACATGTATGGACACTTCCATGCTCTGCTCAGAAACACGCTTCTTAGCTCAAACAGAGGCTCAGTTTGGCTTGCCACATCTGTACAATATTGCCAAGTATTTCATCACTACTTAAGAAGCTCCACCTCTTAGTTTCATCTAGTCTGCTGCTCCATAACCTCAACATCACAGCATTTTAGTGTCATTAGGTAAAATGGCTAAATCTAGTCCAATTTACAGATCAGTGGCCAGACCACACGCCCCACTGGATCTGCTTTTTTACACTGTCTCGCACACTCGACCGAATGGAGGTTGTTATTTTAAGAAAAATGATGTAAAAGTGTGTGAAGAATGAGGTTAGTCACATTTGACATCCTCTAATTGGAAGAGACAAATGCAACTGAAACAAAGTGACACTTCAGAGAATTTAGCTTAAATCCTGCTTCCTTCGGATTGGTATTTTCTGTGCTCGCAGTACAGAGACTGCTGTTGTTTTCAGATCTGACTGTCTAACTTCCTGCTCTCAGCTACATTACATACCATATCTACAGTTTATGTAGTCAGCCTTGAAAACTGCTTTAACATCTCACATAAACATTCACAGTTTTCTATTTCCTGCAGTAGGAAGGGGAGAAGCAAAAACATCCAGAGACCTCACAACAAGTCTAATTAACTGTTTTCACACTTATTCTCCAGTCAAAGGGGTAAATCTGCCTCATTTGCATTCTATTGGAGGCATAAATATAAGCCCGTGAATGTCTTTAAAAGGCTGCGATGAATGTGTCAGAGGCCTTAATGTGGTGGAATATAATTAGATGTGAGTGTGGTCAGAGTGGTATTGTGTGGCTTTGTTTGAATCATATTACGCCATCTCTCAAAAGCAATGTTAAAAAGATCTTTCTGCTGCTGCACTGTATGCACACTTAGTGGAGGAGGTACATACAGCACAATGGCACACTCAACAGTCTGACATCATTATCGAATGTAAATTACATTCCCATGAGCTGCTCATTACAATATCCCATATGTAGCGTGTGTCATAAGTTGTTAAATTTCCAGTTTAACATGATCTCCACTTTTTAGCTGCAGATAATCGTAAGTGCTCTGGTGGTGATGTTGAAGTTAAATTAGCTGCACTTCTTGTTCTCAAGAAGGATGAAAGATTTGAAATATGTGTAACATTATTATAAAATCACAAGAGAGGTCAGCACACAGGGAGCTGGGTTATCCATAGTGAAATATTCAAGGTTACTTTGAATTGTAACCGATGATTTGATGGAATAAAAGAAAGATGAATGAATAAAGATTAAAGACAGTTTATTTTTATATTAGAGACTATAAAGCAAAAGATCTAAGTGTACGCATTCAGGACCAAGTAAAAAGAACTGCTATGCAATAAGGTGATTTAAGCATGAGAGACTGATTCAAGGTTGCAGTGAAATATTCATTCAAATGAGGTAAAGAGTGGAGCAGCATAAGAATAACCCGTCTTTAAAGATTAACATAACCCTTGGAGATGTTATTGTATCCCCGTAACCAAGTCTCGACTTCAGCAGGTGCAGAACAGCTCTCCCTCTCTCTGAGTTACTGCATTAAGTCCCTCAAATTTAGTGGCACAATCATGAGCCTCCCGTTCACTCTCTGGAGTAGAAGAATCGCTTTGCATTTTAAAAAGGTCAAACACTCAGATCTCTGCCAGGAGGAATTGAGGGAAGAAATAATGTGTCTCTGCAGAAATATGCAGTCGCACACTACTGATCCTCTCAAATACCCACTGTACAGTGAACAGATTAGAGGTGTGTGTGTGTGTGTGTGTTGACTGTCATCCTAACAACTAGTGTATAAACAAAAGCAAATCACAATATCAAGGCCTAATGTGATGAACATTTAAATAATTTAAGGTCTGTGCTACCAGATTCTTATGCTAGTGACTGGAGTAAAATAAAAAAAGGGAACAAGTCATGATTGCTGTTTGAAATGTGCTAAGCTTAAGCTTCGATAAGCTTATAATTAGCAAATACAACCTTTTGTAGGATTAAATATGTAACAATAAAGCAGATTTTTGAAACAACTCATACTCAAAATTATATTCTGTCCCCTATTGCTAATGAA